TAACGTTTCCTGCCTTCTATTTATTCCCTAGAAGGAGTGGCAGGCTCCCTTGTCTCCCCCTTGATCAGCACTTCCTTTCAGTTTACAGAAAACAAGGCTTTAAGAACTCTGGCTATGTGAGGGTTTTGTGTACTTTGTCTCTTAAGTGGTGATATGTGGCTGTTTTTTTTTCATAATTTTTTGGTAAATATGAGGCCAGAGCAGCTATACCTTTGTTGTTTATTACACTATTTCATATGGTCTATGAGATGGCAGTGTCCATTTCTCTCTCTGTGCATTGATGCTGTGCCATGCAGATTCCCACCTTAAAAGAAAATTCGGGTTAATATTTATGGCATGGAAGCATTAAGTTTGGGCAAATTAAAGGTAATATTCTTGTAGAGGACATGAAGTTATATCAATGGGAAAGGAAATAACCAGTAGACATGAATGATAATGCCACAGATTAAATAAAAAGATTGCAGAAAGTGCTGCTCACAGCCACAATCCACTCAGTGCTCGTGAGTTTCAGCTTTATCTTGCTGTGTATACTGAGGTGAAGACATTGCTTCCTGGAGGGTGTCACATCATCCCTCGACTCGGGAAGTGCTGGAAGGGCACATCCAGTCATGTCAATTTAGATTACTGATTAACAAAGAGCTGGGGACTCAGTCGCTGGCAAGTGCAGTGGTACTGTAAAGAATTACCAGATCCTGGCAAAGGTCTACATACAAACATTTAAACAAAGGCAATGTAGAATCCATAGACCTCTTTGGTAATATAATATCAAATAAGAAACGTTGATGCTTATTTTGTTAATTATAATATCAACACATTTGGTTCAGACATACAATTTTTAATCTTTTATCCATTCTTGTTTTTGAAACTTTTCACAATATCAGTCTTTGTTTACCGTTTTTCCCCACAATGCAGTGCTCATGTGGCGGTTATTTGCAAATGTGTTCAGCCTTAGTATGTGGTGGAGTGTTTGTAGGTTTCACTGGAGCTCAAAGTGTGGAGGCTGCGGTAGTGTGATACTTGACAGTGTGCCACTATTGGTCTTACTCCCAGATCACTGCCAATTTCCAAAGGATATGGATAGGACACAGCCAGCATAATTAGAAGAAAATGGTTTGATTTTGGAAGTTACTGTCTTCTAAACAGCTGTATGGGATTGTTTAGAGAATAACATGGAAATTTCTATATAAGCAAAAATCTACCTTATATTGTCCATTTGCAAAGTTATATTCAGTATTTAATAAAGATGTATTTGTCATCACATATTTCTTTGCTTTTCTCTCTTTCATTAGTAGGCTTAAGGGCAGCATACTATAATGCTTGGGAAGGTATTGGATAAGAGAATGTGGTCTGGATCATAAGTTATTATTTGATATTATTTGACTAATAACAATTTACATTCTGTATATAGAAAGTGTAATTAGCAATGGGGTGTATTTATTAATTTGCTTTTATGTTTCAGAATTTTTTCTAAGATGCCTGAACCTAAGCCATTTGAGCGCCTTCCGGGCAATGTGAAGCCGTTGCACTATGCCGTCACTCTCCAGCCCAACCTTGTCAAATGTGTCTTTACTGGTTCCGAAGAGGTTGACATTGAGGTAGTGTATTTCTGTTTGACTCTGCAAAATTGAAGGAATGTAGAAGTTTATTTTAGATTTTGTCTCCAGTATTTCAAGTAAAGAGGATACATGTTATAAATTCCTTGAACCTGGTTGTACTTATATATTTATTTTATTTTATTTTATTTTATTTTTATTTTTTTATTTATTCTTTTAAGATGAGCATTTTCAACAACTCACCAAATATTATTACAGGTCAAAGAAGCCACCAAACAGATCAAGCTCAACTCCCTGGACCTGACCCTCAGAGATGTCAAGGTCACCCTCGCTGGCGGGGACACGGTGCTCCCCGCCGCCACCGAGATCTCGACTCCCAACGAGATGGTCACGCTCACCTTCGACTCTGACTCTGACTCTGACTCTGACTCTGACTCTGACTCTGACTCTGACTCTGACTCTGACTCTGACTCTGACTCTGACTCTGACTCTGACTCTGACTCTGACTCTGACTCTGACTCTGACTCTGACTCTGACTCTGACTCTGACTCTGACTCTGACTCTGACTCTGACTCTGACTCTGACTCTGACTCTGACTCTGACTCTGACTCTGACTCTGACTCTGACTCTGACTCTGACTCTGACTCTGACTCTGACTCTGACTCTGACTCTGACTCTGACTCTGACTCTGACTCTGACTCTGACTCTGACTCTGACTCTGACTCTGACTCTGACTCTGACTCTGACTCTGACTCTGACTCTGACTCTGACTCTGACTCTGACTCTGACTCTGACTCTGACTCTGACTCTGACTCTGACTCTGACTCTGACTCTGACTCTGACTCTGACTCTGACTCTGACTCTGACTCTGACTCTGACTCTGACTCTGACTCTGACTCTGACTCTGACTCTGACTCTGACTCTGACTCTGACTCTGACTCTGACTCTGACTCTGACTCTGACTCTGACTCTGACTCTGACTCTGACTCTGACTCTGACTCTGACTCTGACTCTGACTCTGACTCTGACTCTGACTCTGACTCTGACTCTGACTCTGACTCTGACTCTGACTCTGACTCTGACTCTGACTCTGACTCTGACTCTGACTCTGACTCTGACTCTGACTCTGACTCTGACTCTGACTCTGACTCTGACTCTGACTCTGACTCTGACTCTGACTCTGACTCTGACTCTGACTCTGACTCTGACTCTGACTCTGACTCTGACTCTGACTCTGACTCTGACTCTGACTCTGACTCTGACTCTGACTCTGACTCTGACTCTGACTCTGACTCTGACTCTGACTCTGACTCTGACTCTGACTCTGACTCTGACTCTGACTCTGACTCTGACTCTGACTCTGACTCTGACTCTGACTCTGACTCTGACTCTGACTCTGACTCTGACTCTGACTCTGACTCTGACTCTGACTCTGACTCTGACTCTGACTCTGACTCTGACTCTGACTCTGACTCTGACTCTGACTCTGACTCTGACTCTGACTCTGACTCTGACTCTGACTCTGACTCTGACTCTGACTCTGACTCTGACTCTGACTCTGACTCTGACTCTGACTCTGACTCTGACTCTGACTCTGACTCTGACTCTGACTCTGACTCTGACTCTGACTCTGACTCTGACTCTGACTCTGACTCTGACTCTGACTCTGACTCTGACTCTGACTCTGACTCTGACTCTGACTCTGACTCTGACTCTGACTCTGACTCTGACTCTGACTCTGACTCTGACTCTGACTCTGACTCTGACTCTGACTCTGACTCTGACTCTGACTCTGACTCTGACTCTGACTCTGACTCTGACTCTGACTCTGACTCTGACTCTGACTCTGACTCTGACTCTGACTCTGACTCTGACTCTGACTCTGACTCTGACTCTGACTCTGACTCTGACTCTGACTCTGACTCTGACTCTGACTCTGACTCTGACTCTGACTCTGACTCTGACTCTGACTCTGACTCTGACTCTGACTCTGACTCTGACTCTGACTCTGACTCTGACTCTGACTCTGACTCTGACTCTGACTCTGACTCTGACTCTGACTCTGACTCTGACTCTGACTCTGACTCTGACTCTGACTCTGACTCTGACTCTGACTCTGACTCTGACTCTGACTCTGACTCTGACTCTGACTCTGACTCTGACTCTGACTCTGACTCTGACTCTGACTCTGACTCTGACTCTGACTCTGACTCTGACTCTGACTCTGACTCTGACTCTGACTCTGACTCTGACTCTGACTCTGACTCTGACTCTGACTCTGACTCTGACTCTGACTCTGACTCTGACTCTGACTCTGACTCTGACTCTGACTCTGACTCTGACTCTGACTCTGACTCTGACTCTGACTCTGACTCTGACTCTGACTCTGACTCTGACTCTGACTCTGACTCTGACTCTGACTCTGACTCTGACTCTGACTCTGACTCTGACTCTGACTCTGACTCTGACTCTGACTCTGACTCTGACTCTGACTCTGACTCTGACTCTGACTCTGACTCTGACTCTGACTCTGACTCTGACTCTGACTCTGACTCTGACTCTGACTCTGACTCTGACTCTGACTCTGACTCTGACTCTGACTCTGACTCTGACTCTGACTCTGACTCTGACTCTGACTCTGACTCTGACTCTGACTCTGACTCTGACTCTGACTCTGACTCTGACTCTGACTCTGACTCTGACTCTGACTCTGACTCTGACTCTGACTCTGACTCTGACTCTGACTCTGACTCTGACTCTGACTCTGACTCTGACTCTGACTCTGACTCTGACTCTGACTCTGACTCTGACTCTGACTCTGACTCTGACTCTGACTCTGACTCTGACTCTGACTCTGACTCTGACTCTGACTCTGACTCTGACTCTGACTCTGACTCTGACTCTGACTCTGACTCTGACTCTGACTCTGACTCTGACTCTGACTCTGACTCTGACTCTGACTCTGACTCTGACTCTGACTCTGACTCTGACTCTGACTCTGACTCTGACTCTGACTCTGACTCTGACTCTGACTCTGACTCTGACTCTGACTCTGACTCTGACTCTGACTCTGACTCTGACTCTGACTCTGACTCTGACTCTGACTCTGACTCTGACTCTGACTCTGACTCTGACTCTGACTCTGACTCTGACTCTGACTCTGACTCTGACTCTGACTCTGACTCTGACTCTGACTCTGACTCTGACTCTGACTCTGACTCTGACTCTGACTCTGACTCTGACTCTGACTCTGACTCTGACTCTGACTCTGACTCTGACTCTGACTCTGACTCTGACTCTGACTCTGACTCTGACTCTGACTCTGACTCTGACTCTGACTCTGACTCTGACTCTGACTCTGACTCTGACTCTGACTCTGACTCTGACTCTGACTCTGACTCTGACTCTGACTCTGACTCTGACTCTGACTCTGACTCTGACTCTGACTCTGACTCTGACTCTGACTCTGACTCTGACTCTGACTCTGACTCTGACTCTGACTCTGACTCTGACTCTGACTCTGACTCTGACTCTGACTCTGACTCTGACTCTGACTCTGACTCTGACTCTGACTCTGACTCTGACTCTGACTCTGACTCTGACTCTGACTCTGACTCTGACTCTGACTCTGACTCTGACTCTGACTCTGACTCTGACTCTGACTCTGACTCTGACTCTGACTCTGACTCTGACTCTGACTCTGACTCTGACTCTGACTCTGACTCTGACTCTGACTCTGACTCTGACTCTGACTCTGACTCTGACTCTGACTCTGACTCTGACTCGGCCTTCAACGGGGAACTCAACGACAAGATGAAGGGGCTCTACCGCAGCAAATACACATCGTGAGTATTTTTGTTTTTGTTTTTTGTTTTTTGTTATTGTTTTTTGTTTTTGTTTTTTTGTTTTTTGATTGCTTTTGTTGTTATTAATGTGGAGATCATCAAGGAGGAATCATACATATATATATATTTATCAAAAATATGCCGTGAGTGTAGAATTCTTTGCGCGCATATCTTTACTACTTTTTCCTGCAGGATTTAGTCAATTTTGGATCTAGAATTGTATTGATTTTTTTTTCATTTTTTTATTAAGTATAGTTTTCTGATAGTTTTAATTTTTATATGAGTCGCTGCTATCTGAATTTAAATCAGAATTTGTTCTATTTCAGATTGAATAGTTAATTGAAAAGTCTATCAGAGTTTGTCTTTTGTATGTGGCATTATGTGTTTTTAATATAGATATAGTAATATGATAATTTTTTCTTAGATAAATCAGTAATGCAAGGATTTTATAATTTTTTTTTATTGCAATGGAATGTTATGGGCAATGTATTCTTACAGATATATCAGGTAAAAAAGGTTTTGACAAGCTCTATGCATGATTTATATAACTGTGAATTTAAGCATGATCACTTCTCCCTTCCCGTGTGGTGCAGAGGTAGCCGTCTTGTCTTGCAATCTGGCCGACCTGCGTTCAGTTCATCACGCGGCCCTTCCTTGCGCACAGGGGGGTAATTTAGAGCCAAAGTGAAACAGATCGCTTGTCACTCCAAGAAGAATCCATTATGATAGATGGAATAAAACTGAATTATAATTAGTTATTGATTCTGCTTAGTGAAGTTTTATGGTTGATACTCCTGCTCTTGTTCCTGCATCTGCTCCCGCTTGTGCTCAAACTCCTGCGATTCTTTCTTCTGCTCCTGCTGCTACTCCTTTTCCTGTTCCTTCTCTTTCTCTGACCCTAACTCTTGCTCTGACTCTTGCTCTTGCTCTTGCTCTTACTCTGACTCTGACTCTTGCTCTGACTCTGACTCTGACTCTGACTCTGACTCTGACTCTGACTCTGACTCTGACTCTTGCTCTGACTCTTGCTCTGACTCTTGCTCTGACTCTGACTCTGACTCTGACTCTGACTCTGACTCTGACTCTGACTCCTATTCTTGCTTCTACTCCTACTCCTCTTGCTCTTGCTCTTGCTCTTACTCCTATTCTTATTCCTGCTTCTACTCCTTCTGCAGTTACTGCTATTGCTCTTTCTGTTACTACTTCTGCTCCTGCTTGTACTTCTTTACCTCCTCCTGACCCTACTACACCTTATGTGACCTTTCTACTACTATAGCTCCTCCTGAACCTCCTAATCCTTATTGTCTTCCTGAACAATCTGGACCTTCTGAACATCCTCCTCCTACCTTCTTCCTCGTCCTTCCTCCTCCTTTCCTCTTCCCTCTTCCCTCTTCCCTCTTCCCTCCTCCCTCCTCCCTCTTCCCTCTTCCCTCTTCCCTCTTCCCTCTTTCCTCCTCCCTCTTCCCTCTTCCCTCTTTCCTCCTCCCTCCCTCCTCCCTCCTCCCTCCTCCCTCCTCCCTCTTCCCTCTTCCCTCTTCCCTCTTCCCTCTTCCCTCTTCCCTCCTCCCTCCTCCCTCCTCCCTCCTCCCTCTTCCCTCTTCCCTCTTCCCTCTTCCCTCTTCCCTCTTCCCTCTTCCCTCTTCCCTCTTCCCTCCTCCCTCCTCCCTCCTCCCTCTTCCCTCTTCCCTCTTCCCTCTTCCCTCCTCCCTCCTCCCTCCTCCCTCCTCCCTCCTCCCTCCTCGTCCCCCTCCTCTCTCCCCCCTCCTTCCTCCTCCTTCCTCCTCCTTCCTCCTCCTTCTTTCTCCTTCCTCCCCTACCTCCCTCCCTCCCTTCTCCCCTACCTCCTTCCCTCCCTCCAGTTTGTTTTTATATTAGCTATAACTGTATTTATGAGGCTGAATTTATATACTGTTATCATTATGATAATTATTATAATCTTTAGGCATTTACTGATTTATTATTTTTAAAAAATGTTTATTTGTATTTTTCATTCAACCAAAAAATGTAGGGATATGTTGGGATATGCGAACGATATGCTTGACAATGCAAATGAAGAAGAATCCAGTGTCCATATTAGAAAATGTTTCTGTATTGAAAGGTGCCTCTTATAACCTTGCAAATGCTGAAATAATCTTGGTCATTGTTAACTTTTTTATGTTTGTTGCACTCTTATTGTTGATGTTATTCAGTCGCGGTATCATTGCGTGCAGTAATTAGCCTTTGCTAGTTTTTTAAAATGTGAAATTCAAGGTGTATGTAAGTTGGATAAAGCCGATCAGTAATATGAATTGATACAGCATGTGATAGATTCTATTTTGAAACTCCCAAATATTTATTTTTTGAAGATTAAGTGTGGTTAGTGTTATTTACTGAGAGTGAATTCTCCTAGAAAATTAACTCTATGCTGTTTTATTTAATTCAAGAGATCTTTGTATTCAAGAGAAATCCTTCTGACATATGGAATAAGCAAAGGGCATAAACTTAAAAGACCCTTAAAATCCAAGTAATTGGGCACTAGTTATCTTTTAATTGGCGACTGATTTGGATTTGCGTGTTTCACTTGCTCGTTTGGACGGACCTGACATATGCAACAGCTAGTGATAAGGGCAGTATTTACACTGCCTGTAATTATTAGCATTACTGGTATTCTGTTGTTCATTTTCTTTGGGATTCATTATAGATATCCAATTATGGCACTGTCTGATTATGATCATTAACAAAATTAAGAAGTTTTATATTATTTGAGATATTAGATATTGTAGCTTTACTTACTTGGATATGATTTTACCTAAGTAGGTCAAGGTGTAAAGATTTCCATATTTTGAGTATAATTGCATGAATAGAAACAAAGATTATGTTCAAATAATTGTCTGCAAGTATTTATTGTGGAAGACCAAAAACCTGGGTGTTCCCTATGATTTCACTGATGTTCAGGGTGTATATTTCAAGACGCTGAGAAAAGGGAGACAAAAAAATAAAAAAAAGAGTATTTTGAGCCCCCGAAATCGAAAAATTCCTGTATAATGAGCCCCATACAATAACCCTGTGAAGGAACGGGAATGCTAAGCTCGGTGTTCTTGGGGACCAACAGAGCCACGGGGGAAGAGAGATACATGGCCGTGAGCCAGCTCTGTGCCACATGCGCTCGCCGCTGCTTCCCCTGCTGGGACGAGCCTGCCCTCAAGGCCAAATTTACTGTCACGCTGGTTGTTCCCTCGTATTGCGTGGCCCTGAACAACATGGTAGGTAGGTTCCACTCAGGTCTTCATGCCATGGGTTGTATATTTGAACTCAGTGTAGAGAGTGAATACACTTTGCTGATGTATTAAGAGTTTCCATTAGTAAGGAAAGAAGCTGGAGGGAGGAGATAATGAAAGGATTTTTTTTTTTCCTATTTTTGGTTGGCTTGTTTCTAAAGCCTAAAAATAGTAGAATAAACCTCTAGTGATTCAAGGGATTGAGTCCATGCTTGTGTTATGGAAGACGCAAGACACTGGTTTATGGAAACTCTTAAAACCTCATTGTTTTGCTTACAAATTTGATAGCCTGTTGATGAGGTACTGTGAAGTGAGTGGAACTTACCTGCTGATGAGATTGTTTTCTTCCTTGTCTGTGTTTTATTTGTTCAACAGTTATTTATTTTCCAAAAATGTTTTGATTGAACATCATTTTTTTTTTTTTTTCATCTTTGTTGCAGAAGTAATAATCTTATTGCATTTATTTTTAAGTTTTGCCTTGTTTTTTAAGTCCACCTCAAGGGCAGACTGAGTTCCTCTCATGTGCACACAGGGTGAACGGCGAGGAAAGGTATTCAGCCGTCACTCAGTTTGAGGCCACAGATGCACGACGCTGCTTTCCATGCTGGGATGAGCCTGCATTGAAAGCTACCTTTGACATTACGCTAGTCGTGCCAAGCGACCGAGTGCCTCTCTCTAACATGGTATGCCGGCTTGCCAAAATGTGTTTACTTAGGTTTAGTTTGTTTGTAGGTAGATTGTTTTGTTTATTTTTCAGGAATGATGTGATGGTCATTTTAGTGCCTCTTTTGTAGATTTATATTTTTTAACATAGGTACTGTTCGAATTTTGATATGACTTATTTTTTTTTAAAGTGAAATAAATAATTTAATTTCAATCTCACACAACAGATGTTTATTTTTTGCTATAAGTGTTTTAAATAAATGTGTGAACTTTGGTTGCAAAGCAAAATATTTACTTAGGTCTGGCTAGATTTATATATTATTTTTATTTGATAAAATGTTATGAATAAATATGAACTTATTTTTTCTGATGGGTATATTTAAAATTATCTGTCAAATCAAGTTTCATTTGGGAAATTTAAGGAAGGCTGTGCATCTGTATTCTTCTTGAAAATGAGCACTTTTGTATAGCTAGACAGCTTCAGTAGATGCTGTTAGTGCAATTAAATTTTTTAATGTGCGTTGTTAGCTTTTGATGCTGTATGCATTTTGATTGTAAAGTTCTAAGTAATTAATTTTCATATTGAATTTTTTGTTCTAATTATAAATGTATCTTGATCATGCTCTTGCAAATTATATTCTTTGTGATGTGTATAGGCATTCTTAGTGTACTAAAACAGTATTTACAGAAAATATTCCTTACAAAATAAAAAAATACATCCATACCCTCTCACATCCAGCCTGAGATCTCGAGAGAACAGCACGACTCTGATCCCTCCTTACAAATTGTCAAGTTTGCCACGTCTCCGCTCATGTCCACGTACCTGGTTGCCGTCGTGGTTGGGGAGTACGACTTCGTGGAGGATACCTCGACCGATGGGATAAAAGTAAGTGTTGGTCGTGGGAAGGGAAGCTGTATGCTAGTCGCTTGGAGTCGTATTTGAGGGAAGGGTGGGTGAGAACTTGTTAGTTTTGTATATTTCATATGTAAGTAGATATTACTTTGTTAATTGTGTGAGATTGGTGAAAACTAAGTTGGTTGTAAAGAAGGTTTAATTATTTATATATTTACTTTAGCAGTAGTGAAAATGACATGGATTAAACAAGGTCTTATCTCTTTCTTGAGTTGTTTACATTTTTTTCAGATAATTTGAATGTGATTTTGTTCAGATTATCTTTAATTATGAAATATTTCTTACTGTTATAATAATGGTTCATTTCCTCGTGATAGGTACGAGTTTATACTCCTGTTGGCAAGAAAGAGCAAGGGAAATTTGCCCTGGAGGTCGCGACAAAGGTTTTGCCGTACTACAAGGACTATTTCAATATTGCTTATCCATTGCCCAAAATGGATCTCATTGCTATTGCTGACTTCTCTGTAGGTAAGTTCAAAGTTGAGTGAACACACACGCACATGCACACGCCCACGCACACACATGTATATACGTGTACATGTACAAATACACATTTTTAACAAAATAACCTGTATATTCCCTATGCAAAGATTTTATAAAAAGATAGTTCTTCCTTAATTTGAACGTGGTTTGATATGCTCATGATCTCTCATCTCAGGTGCCATGGAAAACTGGGGGCTAGTAACTTACCGTGAAACGTGCTTGTTGGTGGATCCAGATAACACAAGTGCTAGTCAGCGACAGTGGATTGCTCTTGTTGTGGGCCACGAGCTTGCTCATCAGTGGTTCGGTAACCTTGTCACTATGGTGAGAGCATGGGTTATTTACTAGTATAAGATGTGAAAGATGTTGTAGTATTGTTGCTTTGTCTTGAAGAGTAATTTAATTTTCACTGTTGCATTTGTGTTGAGAATATGTTGATAAGGAGGATTATATTTGGTTTCTTTATTTATTTTACTTGTTTAACTAATGAGTAACTTGCTTTCCTAGGAATGGTGGACTCACCTCTGGCTGAATGAAGGCTATGCCACATTTGTTGAGTTCCTGTGCGTCGACCATCTGTTCCCGGAATATGACATCTGGACACAGTTCGTCACCAACACATACATCCGAGCCTTGGAACTAGACTGCCTCAAGAACTCGCACCCGATTGAAGTGCCGGTCGGCCATCCCTCAGAGGTGGACGAGATCTTCGATGATATTTCCTACTCCAAAGGGGCATCTGTGATTCGCATGTTGCACTGCTATTTAGGGGACAAGGTAAGGGCGCAGAGAGAGATAGCAGAAGTAATGGCAGGAAAATCGTCTATACACAAGTTGATTTAAAGATGAGACAATATCTGCCATTTGGTGGAGTGTTTTGTTATTCTTTGGAAGAATGTAATCTTATGACCTAAGTAGTATTCAAGCAAGTTTCCTGGTCTTTTGATATAGCATTAGATATTTTTTTCTCCCACAAGGATTTTCACTAGTTAATAACTTCTAACTAGCAAATCACACTCCAAGCTTCTGGATAAAAAAAATATTTGTAATCCTATGTAAAAACAAACCAGAAGAGGAAGATTGTGCAACATAACATTTGTCAGAAAGACCTGTTAGTGCAAGGGATAAAGATCTCGAATACTTTGTCTCTTCAGGATTTCCGCGCGGGAATGAACAAGTACCTGACACGCCACCAGTACAACAACACTTACACCGAAGACTTGTGGGCAGCACTGAAGGAAGCCTCGAACAAGCCCGTGGGTGAAGTGATGAGCTCTTGGACCAAACAGACCGGTTTCCCCATGATCTCTGTGACATCGCATCAGGATGGAGACAACAAGGTGCTGACACTAACCCAACAGAGATTCCTGGCTGATGGTTCTACAGGTGAGTGGTTTGCGGAAGTTTTGTACTAGGGTGAGAAGAACGAGTTTCACTACTTCGACTCGGCTATAGGTCCTGCCATGGTTCTTTTTGTTCTTTTGTCTTTGCTTTTTTTCCCTATTTTTATGCGGGTTCGGTGTATTTTAAAGACGTTTCTTGACATCCTGTCTAATTCTTTTCTTTTTTAAATCTTTTAATCCATTCATCCACCCTTTTGCTCTTGTCTTCACCTTCCTTTCATGCATATCTCTAAGTCTGTTGTCCATACCATATGCTTTACCTTCCATTATTCTTGTTTGCCCTCATGCTCTTCCTTAGGCTTGGCACATCTAGGCTAGCTACAATATGATTTTGAAGGGATGTTATACCTGCATGATAATGTACAATAAACTTCCAAGAGGATCACAGAATCTAGATCCTCATTTCTTGCGAAAATTTGGCAGGATCTTTGCAAAGAATACTTTAGGTGTGGCTCTCGTAGTTTTGCAGATAGTGTGCCTAGGCCTGGCCTGGGGAGTGATAGTCCTTGATTGGCATCTTGTTCCAAAATCAGATAAAGCTAGTGGAACTCTATGGTAATGGAACATTGATTGTAAGAATTGACCCGTGTGTATGTAAAGGGTTTCCCAAATTGTGTTGATATTTGCTAACTCAATACTGGCAGTGCATTACTTTTATCATATTTGATAATGTTATAATACCTAATGTTAATAACAGTGATAATAGTGATAGAAACTGGCATTTCTATCTCTAAAAACAAGGAATAGGGTAAAGATGGATCCAGTAGACCTAGTAGGTGATTTCTTTGAAACTAATTCCCTGTGAATCTGTGTATCAGTAAATGAAAATAGTAAAAGAGAGCAGAGGGGACACTACATGTGCTTACTGCCAGTGAGTGAAAATTAACTTGTGAATGGTTGTTGTGGTTATGCACTAATGTTGTGTTAGAGAATGTAATTGAATAATATATGACTGTCAAATTTTCCTTTCTGTTACATAGGGGACAGCAGTCAGTGGATGGTGCCAATCAGTATTTCGACTGAAAAGAAACCCTCCGAAACAGTCAAGGAGGTCCTCCTGGATTGCAAGTCGACGCAGGTGGTTCTTGAGGGCATCTCTGCTGACACGTGGGTGAAGCTCAACCCTGGCACAGTAGGATATTACAGGTGAGGGTCACGTGTATTTGTTTTCTGGTGATGAGCTGTGAATGTTCGGAGGTGTCGTGTGCTTGGAGTACAGCTGGTCACTGAAGAATGAGTATGTAGGTCCGTGGTGTTTGTTTTTGCCCAGCAGAGGAATGAATGGAATAGTTATTCTGTGGTAGTGGATGGAAGGCTAAATGGCTTGATTGATGGTTGGATGCTGTTTTAAGTTGATTGACTAATGACTAAGGGGGTGGGCTGTATTATGTACGTATAAACAAACCGATTGCATCCTTCATTATCCGTATATGTACCTATTCAGCATCTAGTTTGTTGATGTTAATATTCAAATTTTCTCTTTGCACAACAGGACTCAGTATCCTCCCGACATGCTTGACCTGCTGATGCCTGCCATGAAGTCCAAGTGCTTGCCGCCTCTCGACCGGTTAGGAGTGTTGGACGATCTCTTCTCCATGGTACGTACATCATGGATCGTCTCAAGTTTGTAATTACAGTGCGAACATCAACATATGCATCAACATGAGCATCAACATGAGCATCAACATGAGCATCAACATGAGCATCAACATGTACATCTACATCAGCAACTATAAAGTTTATATCATTTTGAACATCAATACGTAAATCCATCCCCCACCCTCACCCCCCTGCCATTTATCTTGTACCTCCCTTTCACCATAGTGTGGGATTCTTTCACACTTGCCAACACAAATGTCGGCAAGAACCAAACACCCAAGGGCATTGGGTGCCAAAGTCGTAAATGTTTTTTTTTTTTTTTTATCATTCATGTTGCAACTAGATCCTTATTCGCACTGGGGTTATTTGTGGCTTTTCCACTTAGAAACGTCCAGTCAACAGCACCCGCCCACTTTGCCTGGCCTTCCGTGGAGATTTTTTGTCTTTATTGTACTTAATTTTTATTCTTATGTTATTCACTTTTATTTTATATTTTTCTGTTGTCTTGGTACCTGTTCTGTATGCCACTAGCTTTTTTCTCTTCTCTCTCCTCTCTCCTCTCTTCTCCTCTCTTCTCCTCTCTTCTCTCTCCTCTCTTCTCTCTTCTCTCTCCTCTCTCCTCTTCTCTTCTCTTCTCTTCTCTCCCTCATTTCTGTTCTCTTCTGTCCAATCACCACCTCAATGTTTTTTTTACCTTTCTTCTCTTTTATAATTTCCTTTCTTTTTGCTTTTCTCTCTTCTCTTCTTTGCTCTCCCCTGTTCTCTTCTCTTCTCTTCTCTTCTCTTCTCTTCTCTTCTCTTCTCTTCTCTTTTCTTCTCTTCTCTTCTCTTCTCTTCTCTTCTCTTCTCTTCTCTTCTCTCCTCTCCTCTCCTCTTCTTTTCTCTCCTCTCCTCTTCTCTCTTCTCTTCTCTCCTCTTCTCTTCTTTTCTCTCCTCTCCTCTCCTCTCCTCTCCTCTCCTCTCCTCTTCTCTTCTCTTCTCTTCTCTTCTCTTCTCTTCTCTTCTCTTCTCTTCTCTCCTCTCCTCTCCTCTCCTCTCCTCTTCTCTTCTCTTCTCTTCTCTTCTCTTCTCTTCTCTTCTCTTCTCTTCTCTCCTCTTCTCTTCTCTTCTCTTCTCTTCTCTTCTCTTCTCTCCTCTTCTCTTCTCTTCTCTTCTCTTCTCTTCTCTTCTCTTCTCTTCTCTCTTCTCTTCTCTTCTCTTCTCTCTTCTCTCCTCTTCTCTCTTCTCTTCTCTTCTCTTCTCTTCTCTTCTCTTCTCTCCTCTCCTCTCCTCTTCTCTTCTCTTCTCTTCTCTTCTCTTCTCTCCTCTTCTCTTCTCTTCTCTTCTCTTCTCTCCTCTTCTCTTCTCTTCTCTTCTCTTCTCTTCTCTTCTCTCCTCTCCTCTCCTCTTCTCTTCTCTTCTCTCCTCTTCTCTTCTCTCCTCTTCTCTCCTCTCTGTTCTCTTTTCTTCCCACTCCTTCTCTCATCTGTCTCCTCATCCCCCCCCCTCCATTCCAGCTGTCCCTTTCCAGCCACGCCCACCGAGGAGGGAAGGGGAACCGACGTATGGGCGGCAGTGTGTAAAATTGTGTTGTTAACCCCGTGTTACAGCGGTCACTGCTCCTTATTTCCCTCCTTCCCTTCTCCCCCTCCCCCCTTCCCCCTTCCCCCCTTCCTTCCTCCCTTCCCCCCTTCCCCCCCTTCATCCCTTTCCCCTTCCCCCTCCTCCATCTTCCTCCCTCCTCCCTCTCCCTCCTTCCTCCCTCCTCCCTCTCCTTCCCTCCCTCCTCCCTTCCTCCCTTCCTCCCTTCCCCCCTTCCTCCCTTCCCCCCTTCCTCCCTTTCCCCCTTCCTTCCTCCCTCCTCCATCTTCCTCCTCCCTTTCCCCTCCTCCCTCCTCCCCTTACCCTTCCCTCCCCCTCCTTAATCTTCCTCCCTCCTGCCTTCCTCCCTTCCTTCCTTCCCCCCTTCCTCCTCCCTTTCCCCTCCTTCCTCCTCCTTTTCCCCTCCTTCCTCCTCCCTCTCCCCCTCCTCTCTTCCTCCCTTTCCCCTCCTCCCCCTTCCCCCCCTCCTTATCCCTTCCCCCTTCCCCCTTCCTCCCTTCCCCTTCCTTCCCCCCTTCCTCCTCCCTTTCCCCTCCTTACCTCCCTTCCCCCTTCCTTCCTTCCTTCCTCCCTTCTCCCCTTCCCCCCCTCCCCCCTCCCCCTCCCCCTTCCCCTCCCCCCTCCTTAATCTTCCCTCCCCTCCCCTCTCTAGTTTTCTGATGAAGGCGTAAATATTCATTGCAATAGCGAGGAGGGCAAGTGGGCGGGGGCGAGGGCGGTCCGCGGGTGGCGCCGAAACAGGAGGTGAGAGAAAGGGGAGGAGAAGGGAAAGGGGAGGGGGGGGGGCGAGGGAAGGGGGAAGGAAAGGGAAGGGGGGAGGGGAGGGGAGGAGAAGGGAAAGGGGAGGAAAAGGGAAAGGGGAGGGGTAGGGGGGGGCGAGGGGGGGAGGGAAGGGGAAGGAAAGGGAAGGGGGGAGGGGAGGGGAGGGGAGGGGAGGGTAAGTAGGTTAAGAGGAGGGGAGGGTGTGTAGGGGGAGGGAAGGGGAGGGGAGGGTGAGGATGAGGGTGAGTAGGGGTAGGGGTAGGGGAGGGGAGGTGGGGAAGGTAAGGGAAGGGGGGAGAGTGAGTAGGGGCAGGGGGGGAGGGGAAGGGAGGGGAGGGTGAGGGTGAGTAGGGGGAGGGGAGGGAGGAAAGGCAAGGGAAGGGGGGGTGGGTAAGAGTGAGGGCAGGGGTGAGGATGAGTAGGGGCAGGGGGGGGGAGGAGAGGGGAGGGGAGGGGAGGTTGAGGGTGAGTAGAGGTAAGGGAGGGGGGAGGAGAGGGGAGGGGAGGGGAGGGTGAGTAAGTTAAGAGGAGGGGAAGGGGAGGGGAGACAGGGACGGAGAAAGGGATAGACGGCAGAGGGAAGGGGATGATGAAAGGGGAAAAGGGGAAAGGGAAAATGAGGGGGAAGGGAGAAAGGGGGGAAAATGAGAGGTAGGAGGGAAGGAGAAGGAAGAGGAGAAGGGAGAAATTAAAGAGAAGAAAAAAGAAAAGAAAAGAGAATAAAGGAGAATGGTGAGGATAGGGGAAGTTAAGAAAAAAAAACAAAGGTAAAAGAGACATAATAAAGAGATACAAATCAACGTGTTCCGTGTATCACTTATGTATTTATTTATCTATTCATTTATTGCTTTTTTTTCCATCCTTCTTCCTCATTTATCACATGTTAATAGCCTGTCGTCATTCTCATCCCACAAGCGAAATTGTGCATAAAGATAGACCGCGATAAAGTGGGTAAACAAGATTGTGATAAAGTGGATAAACACCGGGCATAAAGAAGATTGATAAATGAGCAAGTGAAGGAATAAGCGATAGCCGGGGAATAAATGAAAATGAGATGATAATCGGAAGCCGTAAAGCATAAGAATACAAGGAGTGAAGGAGGGAGGAACGAAAGAAGGAAGGAAGAAGGAAGGAAGAACGAAGGAAGAACGAAAGAGGGAAAGGTAAAGGAGGGAAGAACGAAAGAAGGAAGGAAGAACGGAAGAGGGAAGGGTAAAGGAGGAAAGGACGAAAGAGGGAAAGGTGAAGGAGGGAAGAGCGAAAGAGGGAATCATCATCATCACCATCATCATCACCATCATCATCATCATCACCATCATCACCATCATCATCATCACCATCATCATCATCATCACCATCATCATCACCATCATCACCATCATCATCATCACCATCATCACCATCACCATCATCATCATCATCACCATCATCATCACCATCATCATCATCATCACCATCATCACCATCACCATCATCATCATCACCATCATCATCACCATCATCATCATCACCATCACCATCATCATCATCATCATCATCACCATCATCATCACCATCATCACCATCACCATCACCATCATCATCATCACCATCATCATCACCATCATCATCACCATCATCATCACCATCATCATCATCATCACCATCACCATCATCACCATCATCATCATCATCATCACCATCACCATCACCATCATCACCATCACCATCACCATCAAATTATTAATCTGCATGTGTATATATACTTAAGCATTTATACATTCTTAATATCTCGATTAAGTTAATATCTTTTAAATATTTATTCAATTTTTTAACCCCCCCCCCCTTCTCTCTCTCCCTCCCCCCCTTCTCTCTCTCCCTCCCCCCCAGGTCCAAGCGGGCCACACGAACACGGTGGAGGTGCTGAAACTCCTGAAGGCGTTCGAGGACGAGACGGACTACACGGTGTGGTCGGCGGTGCACAACTGCGTGGCGCGGCTCAGCCAGCTGATCTCGCACACCGACTTCCACCCGTCCTTCGCCGCCTTCGTCAGGAAGCTCCTCGTCAAGATCGGCCAGAAGCTCGGCTGGGAGGCCAAGCCGGGGGAGAGTGAGTGTTGGCTTCGTTGTTGGTGTTGTTGCTGTTATTATGATTATTGTTGTTATTATTGTTATTGTTATTGGTTTTTGTTTTTGTCATTGTTTTTGTCATTGTTATTGTTGTTATTGTTATTATTGTTATTATTGTTATTATTGTTATTATTGTTATTATTGTTATTATTATTATTATTATTATTATTATTATTATTATTATTATTATTATTATTATTATTATTATTATTATTATTAATGATAATGATAATGATAATGATAATGATAATGATAATGATAATGATAATGATAATAATAATGATAATAATATCATTATCATTATCATTATCATTACCATTATCATTATTATGATCATTATTATTGTTATTGTTATTATTTATAAGAAAATGGATTCGTTGTTGGTATAATGATAAAAGTTTGTTCTAATTGTCTGTTCTAATTCTTCTTATCGTTCGTGTTATTCCTGTTTTTATTCACAGGATTATACTTATGATTGATGTTAAGGATTTTTGTATATTTTTGTAATATTTTTTTTATTGTTACTCTTTCCTGTGGGGCATTTTCCTTTATTCTGATTACTTGGGTGTATGTAATGGCCACGACCGGTGCGGGGTATTTGTAGAACGTGTTTTTTATCTTTTATCTAGATATTTGCTTTGCGCTCTCTGGGTCCAAATTTTATCTTCATTCCATCAAGACTTCCCCTTCGTTTCACCTCCCTCTCTCCCCTTCCCCCTTCCCCCTCTTCTCCCTCCCCCTTCCCCTTCCCCTTCCCCTTCCTCTTCTTCCCGCCTCCCCTTCTCCTTCCCCCTCTTCTCCCTCCCCCTGCCTCCTCTCCTCTCCCTCTCTTCTCTTCTCTGCTCCTCTATCTCCTTAACTCCCCCTTTCCCCTCCTCCCTTTTCCCCCTCCCTCTCCCCCTCCCCCTCCTTCCTCTTTCCTCTTCCCTCTTCCTCCTCTTTCCTCTTCCCTCTTCCTCCTTCCCTCCCCCTCCCTCCCTCCCCCCCGTCCCCCTCACTCTCTTCCCTTCTCTGCCACCCCCCCTCCCCCCCACACATACGTTAAATGACTCGGGAACAAGGGAAGACAAGATGAATTTGAGCAATTAAGACGAAAAGAGAAAACACGGGTGGTAGGTGTCGTGTTCGGGTCGAGGGGGGGGGAGGAGGAAGGAGGAGGGGGAAGGGGGAGGGGGAGAAGGAGAAGGAGAAGGAGAAGGAGAAGGAGAAGGAGAAGCAATGGAGGAAGACGAGAAGTGGGAATAGATCAGCGGAGGAGGAGGAGGAGGAGAAAGGGAAGGAAAACCGGAATAACGCAAGGAAAAGAGCAAACCTGACGAGGAAAATGAAAAGGAGATGGAAGGGAAAAAAAGAGATGAGGAGGGAAAGGAGGAGGAGGAGGAGAAAGGAGATTTGGAAGAAGGGGAGGAGAGGGCGAGGGTCGACCGGCCGCTACATGGTGGCTTATCCATCACGGAAGCTGAGCTGCATGTTGAGTGCAACCCCTTCCCCCCCCTTTCCTCCCTTGGCTTTTCCCTCGCTCCCTCCCTTCCTTCCCTCCCCTCCCTCCCCCCTCCACCCTTCCCCTCCCTCCCTCCCTTCTGTTCTCCTTTCCTCCCTCCCTGCCTCCCTTCTCTTCTTCTTTCCTCCCTCCCTCCCTAACTTCTCTTCTCCTTCCCTCCTCCCTCCCCCCTCCCCTTCCCCCTTCCCTTCTCTTCTCCTTCCCTCCCTCCCCCCTCCCCCCCTCCCTCCCTCTCTCCCTCCCTCCCTTCTCTTCTCCTTTCCTCCCTCCCTCCCTCCCTCCCCTTCCCTCCCTCCCTCCCTCCCTCCCTCCCTCCCTCCCCTTCCCTCCC